AAACACGACGTGCTACAGGCACGATCGGTTTTGAAGCAGCCAATTCACAGTTAGAAATCATCATGATTTCCTCTTCCTTCACCAGGACCCCCCGCTTAAGGAGGGGGCTGCAGGTGCTGCTGACGTGAAAACGAGAGCAGCTTTTCATCCTCGCACGCCGCTCTAATTCCGGCTTGGCCAAGCTGCTCCTCCGCCCCGGGGTGAGCCTCAAGTGCCAGAGCAGCCCCCTGGTATCACACGGGTCCCTCACGGCCCGGACTGGGGCCGTGCTGTCCTGGGCACCCCTGGGGTAAGCACCCACGAGGGATGCTCCGTGCACAGCCTGTTCCTCGCCGTCTCACCCTGGGGCCACCCCACATCCCTGTGCCTCCTCCCCAGACAATCGCAGCTTCCCTGCCCACCACAGGCACAAAGCGAAGTTCCCAGGAGCTGTGTGTGACTCCAGGAGGAGCCAAACATTTGGCTTTGGCACCTCAAGGCCCCCGCTAAAGATGCCGACCCCCTACAGCCAGCTGGGAAATAGAAATTCCATCTTTTCCGCCTGACCTCAGCCGGGCTGGCACTACAAAGAGCCGCAACAGGCCCAGGGAGCCAAAAGTGATGCGGAGTATCTTGGAAAAGGGAGTAGATTTTTACAAAGTCATGATCTCACCATGCACCTCCTGGGAGTGAGGAGAAAAGCATCCTCACGGCCTCAAATTTTGGTTCCAAATTAGTAATTCAGCTCTGGGAGCAGGAAAGGCATTTTCCTGGCTTTATATTTCTGTCAAAGGCTGTGCCAAATTCTCCTTCCACGGCGCTGTTAACGCTGCTCAGACACCACCGATTCCCGTGTAGCTACTCCTAATCCGTGGTCGTGAAAGGGAAGGCACGCTCGATCTGCCGCCCTCGATTTCCCTGCACCACCTGCTGCCTTCGACCACCCCGTCTCTCCCAGGTCTCGCTACGAAGGGGCCTCTGGACCATCCAGAGCAGCTGATTTCTCCCCTGCCGACACTCAGTCCTGCTTCGCAGCCTTCCAGCTCCGGGTTGCAGCTTCGCCAAGCGCTTCCCTTCCGCCCTCTCCCCAGTTCCCAGAGAGGTGGTTTGCTCTTCTCCAGCACTGCTGGGTCTTCCCAGCTCCTCCCCATTTTATGTCGTCAGGAGACTTGGGCACTTCTTCTGTTGTGCCTCCCTCAAGGTCACAGATTTCCGAGGGGACCTGGGCTCCGAGTGCTGTACGTTCCCTTTTCCCAGCGTGAAGCTCTTTCTCTGATATCCTGGGGTCACTTCATCTCTTTCTCGTTCCCTGATATCCTGGGGTCACTTCATCTCTTTCCAAAGGGCTCCTCAACCTACGCAGGGTAAAGCAGTTGTAGCTCCTAAAAAAATAACTCGCTCCTAAAAATACCCAGGGAGACAGCCATGCCGGGATTCAGCTGTGCTTTGCGAAGGACGAGGTGCCTGGCTGCAGCCGGAGACTGCTTTGTCTCCCGTCTCTGACTCCGTCATGTCCTCCGTATGTTCTAGCAAATTCATCAGCCATGACTCACAGACCTTCCCTGGACACATTCCCATCTCCTGACTGCCCCTTCCTAAAATTAGACCCAGCGCTTGTTGGGTTCAGCCACGGGGGAAGGTGAGGAGCTGCAGACCCATGTCCTTTCTTCCTGTCGCAGGGGGAGCTGAGCCCAGAAGGGTGTTGGGGCTGGGGGTGATCTGACACCCCCCCACCCCACCCCACAGCTCACCCTTGGCCCTGCTGCTGCCCTAGAGGGTGGGGATGATGGTTCTGTTCTCCGGGAGCTGGTTGGAGACCACGGCCTCCTTACATGAAGGGCAGCCCCTGGGCGATGGGAATGCTCCGGGCCTCGATCATCGACTCCGGGGAGGAAGGACACCTCCCCCTGTGAAATCCTGGAGACCGCAGTTGCTTGCTGCTCCTCCTTGTGAAGCCCCACATCCGTGTGAACTCAGCCCTGCGTCTTTCAGCGGCCGGTTTGCTCGTGGAAGGGCTCACCAGCATCCCAGAGGCTGGTCCAGACACCCCATTCCGAAGGGGTGGGCGCGGGTCTCCCACATCCTAGAGAGAGGAGCTCGGGAGGCGAGACAGGAATAAGGCCGTGGCTCTGCTAAGTGTAGAACAGCTCCGACCTTCAGCTGGGGAGTGT